GTTATGGCAATTATATTTAGCTGATATGTTAGATAAACAAAAATTTTAACTCCTGGTAAGCACCTATATTTATTTAATCTTTATTAATTCTAATCTGAATTTATTTTTTCATCCACCCATCTAACTCACAACTATTTGGAAACTATTGTGTAAGTGACCTAGAAGAAGTTCCCATATTATTCAGGACAAGGTAGGATGTGTTCCAGTGAGAACAACCACAACATCTCATTAGAGTAATAAATAAAAGCTTATTTCTAGTTCATGCCAAAATCTGATGCAGATGCCAGCAGGTTTCGTTGGCCTTTCTCCAAACTATGAGTTGGGTTTGAGACCTGGGTTCAAGTCCTATCTCTGAGGTGTGATTGAGAAATTACTTCATCTTTTAAATTACCAGTTCCATCATTTGTAATTGAGGACAAAAATAGGAGCTACCTAGAGAGAAAATTAAATGAGATAATGTGTATAAAGCACTTTTCACCAAAATGGCACACAGCATGAGCTCAGTTAATGTGAGCCATTATTTTTCTGGGAAAAGTCAGGGTGTAAGGTCATCAAAAACCCAAGCAGGGTGTCTCAAAGCTTTCTCTCACATCTAATCTTTATGGGAGCAAAACTGCATCCTTGCTTACTGAACCCTAAGCTGCCCTTCTCTGACTTTCACCAAGACTGCAGTCTCCGCTGTCTGAATGTCAATAGGAATTGACAATCATGCTGTCCTCTGGGCTTGCTGTTAGCGATTTACTCTCCTTGTTGTGTCTGTTTTTTGGGGGGCTGGCCAAGCCAAACCCAGGATGTTTTGGTGTCGGTGACTTCTTTTTATTCCAAAGGAATTTCCTGATTTATTTTCTCCTCATCTGTTGGGGAAATCAGTCTCAGGCTCTGTCTCGCGATCAGACTACATCTTACGTCCTGGGACCATTTTGGAGTATCCTTGCCTTAGGTTCCTGCCACCTTCTGGATGAGGAGATAGAGAAGGGGGGCAGCCCATGCCTTCCTTTTCCCTATTCAGAGCTGCGTTGAGCTTCCCACCTTTCTTTCCCAGTCTGCAGAATGGACCACACTTGGGGGTCTAGGGGATGATCGTTTCTGTTTGGTTATTTTTACACAAAGATCAAAAGTCAAAACAGAGAAACTAAAACAAACACAAAACAATTGAAAAAGAAACAGAAAACAAAACAAAACAAAACAAAAAAACCTCCACAGTGGAAAGTCTATGATTATAGGAATGCTTTCCAGAAATCCAGGAAGTGGTAAATAGACTACTGATGGTGACACCTTTAGATAGTCTTGTTGAGTTTTCTTAGTGCTACATTAGATTAGTGTTTATGTTGAGAAGTAGGAAACTATTTAAAGTCTATACCAAACTGCATAGCAATGAGGAAAGCTGCCCTGTCTTCTTCCCTATATATTTCTCACACTTTGCTCAATCAATGTTGGACACACAGTAGGTGCTTAATATACGTACGTATTGAATGAACATTCAGCAAATGTTTACAACTTGCTTGCTGCATTCTAGTGCTGTGGTGATCCAATTAGCCTTATAAAGAACAATTTAGTGGCCACGTACATAATAAATATTTTCAGAAGAAGTAGTTCTACTTTGAAGGTTGGATTTCCAAAAATATCTTATGATACGGGGATGTGGGGGGGCATCTAATTTTCAGTAGTCTTTACCTTCAAATATGGAAGATACAAAAGCATAGTAAATTGTAAACCAAAATCTTAAGTGCAACTAGACAAGCCAAAAAGTGAATATACATAAACTTTAAAATTAACATTTTAACCATAGTGTGGAATATATTTTGTGCAGTTTAATTTTAAAATTGAGGGATTAAACTATCAATTCAATTGCTCTGAGATTTTTTTTTCCCAAAGTTGGTATTTTAATTTGCATCTTGCTAATAGAGGATAATAGTAAGAAAGCCCAGTTCTAAGACTGGAGAGTAGCATAAAATATATAATCTTGCCCAGTGGTACATTCTGGCCAGAGATCATTCAATAAAAGGAAATGAATATATACGAAAAATGTTCAAAGATAATTATGCTAGTTTTTCAGCCTAAATATCTTGGAATTTGCAAAGACAGCTCATAGGGCAAAAAGGATACCACTAAAATTCAGTGCAATAGATTTCTCCATTGGAAGTGACAGGAACATCTCTCTCAATATTACTTGGCTAATGAAGGGATAGATCTGCTGTGAAGTTCCTAGGAGGCTCATTTTCTTGAGTACAGTAGTAAAAGTTAGCTGATGAATGACCTAAACTGCTTAATGCTTCTCCTTATAACTTCTGAGCAGCAAGGCGTAACCAGGCAAGTACTGAAGAAGCTATCCTCAGGAGACCCTGGTGTCCTTGCAGGTTGTCAGAGGCAATGAGCCAGGTTTATTTCAAATGGCTCCTTAAATGAACATTTATTTTGTGCCAGTAATACGTTTTTGATTAACAGCTCCTTTTGACTAATTTGCTTCCCAAAACAGCCCAATAAAGGACTTGCTTAAAACATAATTAAAAGCATGTTATTGCAAGTAGTTAATACTGATTAAAACAGGCATTAAGACAATTATCATTGAAGGAAAGTAAGCATTGGTAGTTAGTATAGAATCCATTCCTAGTGTCTTTATGCATCACATGCAGAAATGGCTGCTGATGAGCTACAGCAAGGTTTCATGCTTTATGAATTATATCAAAATATCTTTCTACTTTGTTTACTTTAATGAATGGGCAGGTTTTTAAATAAGTGGGATTTTGATTTTTTTTTCCTTGTAAGAAACATTCGTATATGCAACAAGGTAAAGCCCATTTCCAATTAATCTGGACTGATTTCAACTGTATGAGAGTAACACTCAGCTATTCTTTTATATTAATAGGATATAAGCCTTAGATGCTCTTTCTACCATCTCTCAATACACAAAACTCTCTCTTAGTCACACTATAGATGGGAAACAACGGATGTTTTTACTACTATTATCAGGCACTTTGAGTGAGTCCCTTTGTTTTCACATTTCTTCTTGTTCAAGTCATGTTCTGTTGTGGTATGAAAAAAATAATAATTTAAAAAGCACTTTTTAAAACAGAACAACTATAGCAATCAATATTATATAAAATAAGTATATCAAGTTTTCTGTCACCACTGTATTTTGCATCAAATTATGACATTTCAGCAATTGTGTAAGTTATATAAGAAGAGCATGTGCTTTGCAGGAATGATTATTTCATTGAAAATGAAAATACAGAATACAGCCTCCATCCCATATGAGAGATTTCTTTCTAGGAATATTTTTCTTATGATCAATTTTATATTTAAGTATAACTTTGTGACTATTCAAGAAAGCATGTGGTGGAAATGATGGAAATTTAGTTTTGGCATACTTAACTAGAATGAAACTGCCTTGAGAGACTGGACTTGCTGTAAGTCATCTTTAAAAAAAAATCAGCATAAAATATGGCAGGGATAAAACTATGCCAGCAGATTTGATCATTTGTTTTAGATGTCCATTTTGCCGTGGTAGCCCCTGGATAGTCTCACAAATAGATAGCACTCACCAAATGCCATGGCCAAGTGAATTTATCAAGGGACAATTAATCATTTCCTTCACGGATGTGAGAAGGGTCAGGGGTCACTACAGAAGTGCCCACAGGCCAGTTCCAAACTTTGTAAGACTTTTGGAGATTAAAAAACAATAACAACAACCTAATGAGGCAAGAGGTGCTTGAAAACTTGGACGGGGGCAAAAATGTAAAAAGGAAAAGAAGAAAACCTTTTGCCATATTTGATATAAATAACCAATTAATTCCTTTTCATTCTACCACACGTTTTTCTGGATGACACCAAGAGCTTTCTAAAATGTATCCCCTTTCTACTTTGGTCAATCCTTCACACTGCCATCAAACTTATGGTTCTAAAATGCAAATATAGTCACAGCCTGTTCTTACTTAAAATCTCTCCAGGATTCACAGAGATTCTTTTTGACAAAGTATATCGTCATTAATTGTCTGACCTCAACCTATCAGAATATCAGTCAAATGTTCTGATTTTCTATCTTCTGGACATCATGAAACTGCCTCACCGAACCAAAATTCTCTCTTCTCCAAATTTGCATTTTGATGTACATCTATGTTTTTATGCACAGAGTTTTTCTCTCAATCATTCTGCTTGGAATGTCTTTCCCCACCTTCTCCAAGAATCAGATTTCTATTCATCCTAACGTTGCCAGAGTTAGCAGATAAAAATAAAGAATACCCAGGTAAATTTGAATTTCAGATAAACAACCAATAATTTTATAGTATAAGTTATGTTCTCTGCTCTGATTTTATATATTTCACTTATAACTACAAAATAATTATGATAAAATATAATATTTCCCCTATAAATAAGCCTTTAACTCTGTATGTATTCAGCTTTTCAATAATATTATATTGAGTAGTGGAAACTCTAGTAAATAAAAGATAATTAATAATTGTTGATTAAATAAAAATATATTGTACTTTATGAATTATTAATTATATTATTGTGTTAATATACCTAAGTATTTCTAATAGTAAATAAAAGTTCAGGTATTTGAAGCTATCAGATCCACTTAGATTAATGGAATAATCAAAGGGACTTTGCTACTATCACACAGCGTGAACTGGATTTATTATGTAACAGGTGAAGGTTCTGATCAGATGGCCTAGCTGTGAAGTCTTACTTAACCGCCTAGTGCCTCAATTTCTTCATCTCAATTTCTTCATCACCAAATGGGGATAATGAAATAGTGATAACAAAACAGGGTCACTGGGGTAGATTTAATGGGTTAATAGATGTAAAGTTCTTAAGAAAGTATATTGCAGGCTTTACATAAAAGTGAGCCTTTATATCAATCTCAAATTACAGATGCCAAAAGAAACAATCACCATGGATGATCTTAAAAATCCATGATTATGAATATTTATGAGTCTAAATAGCTCTTTGTGTATTCCTTTGCTTCTACTGATCCAAACTCTTCTCCTCTCTACTCTTAGGCCTGGGACAATGATCCATACAGACATCATGAGGCCCCTGTCCTCTGCTTTAAGGTAGGTGGTCAGTGGGGAGAACTGGCAGGAGAAGAGAGGAGAATAATAAAAGCTCAGGGAATTTATTGCGCTGGACCTGTGCCCTGTGGTCACCTCCGGCTGACTGTTTTCCAGGACCTGAGGCCAGCAGTTCTTAGCTGGTGCCCTCTCTCTGGGTTCTCATAGCCACCCTTCCCTTCACCTGTCAGGCCTGGGACTGTTGGCATCTCACTCCTACCTGCCCCAGGTTTCTACTGCTCCTGATAGTTCTACTACACATTGCCTATAACCTTTGAAAACTGTTCATTTATTAAACTCTTCTAAAATGTTCCCATCCACTCCCTGCAAAGAACCTGACCAAAACTGTGCTTATAAAATGTAATTTAATTTCAAAATTGTATCATAACTTATTTTGCTTGTCCAATATATTTGCTTATCATATAAGATATTCAAACGCCCCTGTTGCCAAAATAGTTTTTATCATGATCATTACAACTGGCTATTGGAAATGCATTTCACCAAGAATATTGTTTTCACTTTATGATAATAAATATTTGTTTACGGTTTTAATTTGTCAAATTGAGAAAGGCAGTTGTTTTTCTGGTGGCATGGAAAACCAAAGCAGCTTTCTCCAGATATTCCATTAGGGCCATGATACAGAGATGAAGTAGGTAGTTAATGTATTGGTCTGCCTGGAAGTGTAGCCACTAAAACAATCACTTGGATTCTGGCAGAAGTTATTTAAATAGAATCTGTCCTATTTATAGAAATGTATTTGTCTGTTTTGACAACTTACTCAAAACAACAAAATTATCTTTCCAAGTAGCAACTGTTTTCATATGACTTTGCAAAACATTGGTGGGCAAGCTGAGGCATGCATGGGAAGAGTAATGGCAAGGAAGTGGGTGGGGTTTGTCTTCTTTGCTCCCCCAATATGCTTTTGCCATAGCAGTAGCTTTCAAATGTAGCATTATAGCAATAACATGGGGGGTAGGGAAGGAGAAAGGAGAGGTGGGAGAGAGAGAAAAGAGAGGTATTAAGAGCTGACAAAATTTGATATCTGAGGTTTTTTTTTGACTCATGGAAAATTTCGATGCTCTGATTATACTTAAAAATCTATTGTTCTAAAAATAAAATCTATTGTTCTGGCAAAAGCATTGAGTCGATTTATACTTTTTCATTGTAAAATGAAGAATACAGGTATTTATTTTAAAGTAGAACATTTACTAGAACATTTACAAATGTATTGTGATAATTAAGAAAGCAATATTATTGAATATTATACATTATCAAGATATTTCGTATGCTGAAAATTATACTTGCAGTCATAACAGATAGTTTATCAATTGGAAATGTATTTTTGATAAAATTATAGTTGTATTAAAAAAAATAAACTCGTAGAGACTCTAATCCCACATATGAGGTCTGTCCAGAAACTGTCCTTCCATATGAAAAATGGAGACATTTTTGAAGAAGATATGAGGTACAAGAGACATTGTACATAGGAAAATGATGCCTCAGTCCCCTTCAAAATAGGCACCTTGGAACCTCACAGTTCTCCCAGTGTCTCTTTACCTAACCGGGACACGTTCAACATTCTTAGGTGTTCTGTTTGTTGCAGGCCTTCCAGAATGTGGATCATTTTCAACAGATTCTAGACCTTCTTTGAAGCACTTGTGCCACACTTTTATTTGCACTGCACTCATTGCATTGTCTCCAAAAGCCTTCTCAATCAGCCAAGTAGTTTCCGTGGAGGAATGTTCAACCTTAATGCAAAATTTGATGCGGATTCATTGCTCTACTTGCTCAGTCATTTTGAGCATGAAGGATACACAGCCTAGTCTAGCGCTCTACCGACTAGTACAATGAAGTTGTCACTGTTCACACATGTGCCAGTCCACTCTCCTTGGCTGCCAGGTTATATCAATGTTGTGCAAACTGTTCTGCTTATGCTAACAATGGCTGGATACTTTCCAGACAGACTTCGTTTATTTCAGAGTTAACTCTCTGGGAATTCATACATTGTGTATCTAGTTAGTCTTTTCTTGAGAATGTTAGCTTTGCTGCTAGATACAAGAAAACGAATTTTGGAAAATCAAAAAGAACTGTTAAATATAAAAGCAGCTTTATAAGCTAATGTATAACAAAGTTTGAAGTTTCTTCTAAAATCGACAACTAGTCTTAGAAAAAAAAATCTATGCAAATTGCATTAAACATATATACTTCATTTCAGAAATGTGGCCACCAATCTTTACAATCAACATATATTTTAATTCTTGAGGTGTTATAATGGAAGACTCTTTTTGTGATTATCCTGAAAGTCACTTCTTTTTATGAAATCCAAACAATGGATGCAAACCCAACTGAGTTTTTCATTCTCAGAGGAATTCTTCCCAGGTCCATGAAGCCCAAGCAGGCAGTCACTCACTGTCCTTTGAAAACAGGCAGATGATGTCTAGTTAGAAGTAACAGACTTTTGGCAATAATGAAAATTCTAAGGACCTGCGTCTGGCTTGCAGGAAGCAAAAAGTGACGGAACTAAAATGAACTGAAATAATTCAGATGTCAAATGAAAATCTGTTCCAAAATTAAGATTTATTGAACCAATAATGTCTCTGCCAGTGCATTGTATTGGTGGGACATAGAAATTTTATGTTTTAGAGAAACCGCCAGAGGAAAACCAGCTGAAAAGGCAGACACTATGCCTCACTCATAACTTCACATTTTCTGGCTTTTCTCTTGATGTCCTCCTGTTCTTAATACTGTTAGGACACATCCTCTTACATTTTACTACCAATTAATTGAAATATAAAGAGTTCATTCTGTATTCTGTGATTTGACTGTTTACCTCTTCCCAAGGGAGGAAGTGCTTGTAAGAAAGTATCCAGCCTAAGCATAAAGAAGAAACTGGGGCAAAAGTTTATTTTACTCACATTTCAACTTATGGGCCATCCATACTGAAATGGATTCTTTAAGGCAGTTGTGGTTCATATGTAAAAGAACTGATACAATAAAAAAAAAAAAATTGGCTTACAGGGTACAGGGCTGTGGAGCCATAGAAAATAATCGTTCACAGAACTCCTGACAGTTTTAATCACAGGATTCTCCACAATGACTGGTAGAAATTGCAGGGTAACTTGTTCAGGGACGATTCAGAAATTGATGCAACCCCATAGGCTGACTTCTTTGCTGCTGATTTCAGAACTAGACCACAAAAATATATACCATCATTGAATTATTTGTCCTAAAGAGGTATACATATGTGTGCCTGTGTGTATGTATGCATGTGTGCACATAAACAAACTTGCATCTTTTGAGATAAAGTAGATTTTTTTCCATTTTCCTCAAACATCTTACCAGTTCATCCTTTAAAAATGAAGTTTCCACAGTAAAATGAACCTGATGTTGCTTTTCATCCAAGAGTTTGTGAAACTGAAGTTGAATTTAGATCATATATACTGTAAGGGATACAAAGAGATCAATCCTTTTATACTATTAATAATCTATGTATAACTCTAAACCAAATAGCTGCAAAATAAGTTGGCAACTAACATATTCTTTCTAATATGCTGCCAGTTATGGAGCTGGGATAAACTAAACGTGGAATTTAATTATAAATAAAAGCCAAAAGAATTTGAAAGAAGAAACTGGCTAAGAATTTATTTTAATAATACTGAAAGCCTTTCTTTTTCTACGTCTTATTTCCTGAAGTCTCACCTTTAGATAGTAGTTTCTAAAAATTTAGCTGAAAATCCCAAAGTGCCATTGAGAAAATTAAAACAAAGTATGTGCTCTGATTATTTCAAATATTTCATATAAAAGCAAACAGACAAACAGAAAGGATTTTCATGCTGGGATTTCATCTACTCCCCATCCCTTCAGTCATTATAAGGATAGTTGTCTCTCTTGCTTGCTAAATGCCTGCCTTCTTCAGCCCAGATGGTACCCACGTGGACAAGAAAAATAATAACTTTTCCATGAGACACTTAATAAACATAAAAATGTATGATGATAACACATATGAATGAAACTTTCCTAGAATTGTGCAGTCCCCAACCTTTACAACCATACAGTCATAGAGATGTTTTAAGCTCTTTAATTTGTTATACCTCATGTTTTCCATGAAGAGCTCGTATATCTCTCCGTATCTTAACAGTGAAGAAACACATTCACATTTAGAAATATATCTTAAAAATAAAACTCTCTAAAAAGTGACAGCTCATCAGGAAATTCACTGCCTTATGTACTGGTTACAGAGTGCTTAAAACCAATTTTAGTTTCCCTTTCATTGGAAAGCATTACACTAATTTGATAATCAAAATATCCTCTAAAATCAGAGAATATTATTTGTGTAGAGACCAATATACTACATCTCATTTTAACATGATAATCTAATAACATATTTAGGAACTTTTCATATTCATGCCATATTCATGCCACATTCTCAGATTCCTATGGAGAAGCAATTCCTGTCAATTCTTAATATAGTCACTAATAATGCCAAGTAACATATAAGAAACAGACTCAAATTCCTAGCAAAACAAATCTACAAACTAAGAACTTTGTGTTCTAGGACTTTTAGAATAATTTCACAGCAAGATCTGCTGTTACAATGAATCTGTGAACACTAGAGCAACTTACACATATTTTACTCTATTGAAATATCTAGAAAAGAATATTATGCATTTCATATGTGTAGAAGCGTAGATTGCTCTATGCGTTAATCATGGCCATTTGTGTGCATTTTTTATTTTTATTACCTAGGCTTGGAGCAATTTTTGCCAAACAGACTCATAATAAACATGTAAAAATGGAATAAAAAGCACATTCCCCATAAAGTGCTTGCACAGCACAGAAATGTAAAATTTTGGCACCCAGTCAGTTTTGTGTGGTATTAAAAAACCTTCTTATATTTAAATCCTCTGCATTTTACCAGTCTTTTTATGTAAAACCTTAAGTGGAATTGACTGTTTATCCCAGTTGATTTGGCCATGTGACATCTTCCAGGTTGGGGAGCTCCC